TGCCAGGAGGGGGATACCGGCTTGTATCACCATCCCCTCCCAGTTCTGTTTCAGCAGCTGCTGCTTGGCTCCTGCTGGTGGCATTTTCCATGCAAACTTGGCAGCATCAGCAGTAGCCAGGATTAGCTTCCCCTGAACGGGAAGGGAAAGCCAGGTGATACCTGGGATCATGCCAGGCTGAACCTTGAGTAAAAAGACAAGCTAGCTCCATCTGGGCTCCACTGCTTTCTCTTGCCTGCACAGGATTTATGTCCCAGGCCAGAAATGCTTCCCAAAACCTATGCATGCTGCTGTGGACTGGCATGGTGCTGTGGCAGTAGCGGGTATGGCAAGACCCCCTGACCCCCAGGCAGTTCCTGTGACCAGCTGGCTTCTTGAACTCATCTTTTCCCCTCAGCATGCCCCCACTGCCCCTGTCTTGCCTGGGCACCACATATGTGCCAGACTTCTCTCAACAGCTGCAAACTCTCACCGCTTGTACAGAATGCAGCAGGCCAGCAACTACCCTGTTTTCTTTTAGCTTAAATATGATAAGTGCCAGAGAAAACATGAAGAATTACTTTGGCCTGAAGTTCAGTATGAACAACAGTGGAAGTCAGGCCATGGGCAGATCCAGTGTGATATCTTGCATTATACTGTATTAAAGAGAATCAGTGTCCTGTCCCCTGAGAGGGCTATTGCCACCTTCCCAAAAGCACCCATATAAGTATCGATTCCGCAAAGCCAGAAGACAGCTAAACACAGCACTGAGCTAAAAATCATGATTTAGCTTGGTGGAGGAAGATATGCAGGAGCTTTGGAGAGTGAGGGGCTGCAAATGGGAACTGAGGCACCCCAACTCCAGCAGGTTTCAGAGACAGAAGTGAGGAAAGGGGCTTTGGACAGGATTAACTGTAGGTGGAAACAAAGCAGGGCGAGTATTTCCATAGCTACCCTTTGCAATGTGCCTGGCTCCTATATGTCTTGTCATGGGCTACTCTCTCCTTACAGGCCTGCAATTACTTGTTTGTTTGCTTGTTTGTAGCGATTTCAAACCCAAGAGCAAAGATGGAGCTGGCTGGAGCAATGTTGCTGTCCACTCCCACCAGCTGAGCTCACATGTGCAAGGGAAGGTATGTTCACCATAGCAGCAACCATCCTGCTGCTTTAAACTTCAGCCATAGGTGTTGCATCAGGTTATGTAAAGTTCAGTTGCATCATGCAAGATTGCACAACACAGCCTGCGTGCCAAAGCCAGGCTTCATTCATCGATCAGGTCTTGTTGGCCACAGGAAGCTAGTTAGGTACCCTGGCGTGGAAGCTACCTCTCCTAGCCCACAACATCCTTACCCAAAATTTCCAAGGGAGGCTGCCACTAGAGTGGCAGGGTGGCCACTAGCCATCATTGTGTCACAACAGAGAGCAAGGCATGAGCTATTCATTTGGCCACCCAGAGCAGAGACTACATCTTCTCAAAGAGGTTCCATCCCTTGGAGTGGTGAGATGTCCCCTCATGCTAGCACCATTCTGACAGATAAGCCTTTAAAACTGTTTTATTTCAGATCCTAGTGCCTATCCCATTTTTGGTGTCCCCACAAGGCACCTCTTGGTCCTGGCCAGCTCAGCACAGCACAGAGCCCAGCTGGAGCAGCCCCTCCCTCCCTCCGCCTCCCACTCCTCCTCCCCACCGCACCTATGCCCCCCATAATCTACAGAAAGCATCCACAGACAGGCATGGGCCTGAGCACTGTACCAGCACCATCTTCCTTGATTAGTTCAAGCCCTAGGCCTGTGGTATAGATAGAGATGGGAACGGCCTGTCCAAAGCAGATGGAGAACACCAGGAGCACGTCTAAAACACAAGGGGCAGTGCCTGAATGCACAGACCATCTCCAGAGATCCCCTGGCCCCCCTAGACTCCTTTGCGTTCCTCTCCTCAGATGTGCCAAGGACACCTATGGTGTCACATTCAGTGGTGTTAAGCTGCCAGTGGACTCATTGCTATTGTGTGAAATGCTCCCTTCTTGCCAAATGGCTCCCCTCCTCTGCTGGCAGCGCAATCCTGCGATGACCCACTCTAGGGTGCGGCAGTGCAAGCAGTGGCCCATCCACCAGGCTGAACTGGGTGGAAGCCCTGCGGCATGGGAGGGTCTCCTCTGGGAGGGGTGGGGGGGGGACCTACCTGTGCAGCAAGGTGCTCTGTCCCCCTCCAGTGGCTGAGATCTTCAGGAAGCAGCATCCAGGCTTCATTTTCCCAGCTCACCAAGCCACAGTCATCTCATGCTTTTGACAGCGGAGTTCGGGCATGCAGGTCCTACTGGTGGTGATGTCAGTCGTGGTGGACTCCAAAGCCACCAAGGTGTTATGCGAAGGAAGTTCCATCAAGGAAGGCACCCTGGCAGGACATCCTGTCACCCATGGAAGACCCCAGTCAGCCACTGCTTGATTGTACGCAAACTTCAATCTCCATGCAGAGCTTTGGATCTGCCATATTTACTTCAGGAAGGCATAGTTTTCTAGGTTTCTTTCCTTCCCCAGGTACCATTCTTAGAAATAGAAGGTAAGGTAAGGTAATGTAAGGTAAAGTAAGGTAAGGTTAAGGAAGGTAATTCCAGTAATTCCCAGAATCCCCATACAAAGAGCTTCAAATTTGGTCTTGTATTTGTGGCACCTGAAGTTTCCTCACAGAGCTGTAGCTGTGCAGGGATATAGACTAGCTGACTGTAAGCCTGCTTCCCTCTGCAGTGCCTGTTCCTCCTTGAGCACGTGTCCCAACTCCTGTGAATGACCCCAAGGGAGCCTAGGACATGAAGGATCCATGTCGGTACAACATGAAGATGTTCAAGTGATTGTCCTGGAGCGTTTGCTGCCCTGCAGACAATGCAGCATGGGCAGTTATGATCTTCTGTCCTAAGCAGACCCAATCACCTTTGGGACTTTCAGCAGTGGGAATGTCGTCTAGGCTGGCATGAACTTGGCACAGGTTGGATGAGGGTGAGAGGTCTGGGAAGATAAGGGACCTTGACAATCTGGCAGGTCTGGTGTTTTCCCTCTGTGAAATGATACGAAGAAAAAATGTCCACACCCACATGACAGATTTCATCTCCAAGGTACCGCACTCTAGTTGTAGTGGGAGCACACAGTGGAGAAAGTAGGCACAACCAGCCCACCGCTCAACTCACCAGCATCTGATTTTTCCCTCCAGAAAAGCACGTGAAGACTGTCTGCACTGGACTGCTTAGGTTGTTGAGTTGGAAGAGGGTTTAATAACAGTCAGAGCTGAATTGTTTTGGATGTGAGGGTAGGCTTGGCTGGGAGGAGGGCGTGGGGAATTCGTTGGACCTACTGTGACCTCTACTGGCTTGGTCTGAAATTGGTGTGCTGGTTGGCCAGATCTCGCCAGAGCACAGTGGGAAGCTGGTCCCCTTGCTGCAGAGCTCCCAGCAGCTCCCATACTTCAGACCCTGAGGTTCTCTGTCCCTGGTACAGGCTTCAGTCTCATTCTTGATGTAAATGTAAGGCAGCTGTTCCACTTATTTCCAGTAGTATTTGCAGGGAAAAGTTAGGGCACCCAAGGCTTTTGGTACCTCTATGCTCCAAGTACCAAATTATTTGCTATGATCTCTGTGCATGACCACAGAAAGACCTCATTCACAATAATTGATTGAGTTTAAAAAAGAATATCCTTTCAGTTTAAAAAAAAAATTCTTCTGAAACAAAAATCTGTGTGCCTTTGTAACACATCAACTCACAAACAACAGGAGTAGCAAAATCAAAGGCATGGAAAACCTCAGTGCAGGAGGCAGAGCAAATGGACATCATAGCTGCCAGGTGAAGCACTGTGCTGCACCCTCCAACTCTGGGGCCTCCAGAAGAAGCTGCCGTATCACTTCTGTTTAGCTCTGGGGTTTGATCTTTTCTGTGCAGCGAGAGAGCAGGAAGGTTTCTTTTTTAAAGGAAATTGGAGCTTCCAGATTAATCCTGTGTTTTTATGAATGCCCAGGTCTTAATCCAAGCCTGGAGTTTGGACTGTTTTAAATAGATGTTGTGTGACATTTTGGAGCTAGTTGCATTTAATTGCTGGCCTAGAGTTTGTTACCACAGCTTGTATGAAATGATAGATTAAAGTTTGATGAAAAACACTAAGACACTCTCACCCACATGTTGCTCTTCGTCCATAAAGAAATACAGGGGTAGAGAGAGAGGCAAAATCATTAGCAAGCCAGTTGGGTTCTGAACCTTACTTGGAAAATCAAAACCAGAGATCCATTGGTGGTGACATATAAGTGTCACAAACTGCTCCCATAAAAGGCATCACAGAACTAGTTTTGATGGAGCGTTCGTGTCTTTCCTATGCAAGCCACTGCCTTTCCAGCAGCACAAATGCATCTTGCAAGCAGAGCTTCTCCAGCAGTTTCGTGTCTCCAGCACAGTCCCTCCTGCAGCACTGAGCCAGACAGAGTGGCTTATACAGCTTCAATGGGGTTTGCACTCATTTGACCTTTTTTGTAATCCAAATACCCTTCATCCCAGTAAGCACACCTTCTTCTGTGCTGTTTGTTCCTGCTAAACAAGGGAAAGATTCTCACCAGTGCTGCAATATGTACTGAACAAACACTGTGTCATGATTTAAGAATAAAATCTGGTGACATGAAATACAGACATTTCCAGCCTCCTAGAAGGCATTCCTGGGTTACGGAGATATCTTTGGAAAAGCTGAGGCACACTGGCACATGACACAATGCATCCTTATCAGCCAACCTTTGTCTCGACCTGTCAGACTGCTTCTCTCCCATATGACATAGTGTATTGGCTGGTGTACTCAATAGTACCGTGATGCTTTAGCAAGAGCCCAGCCTTTCTTTATCAAAGGGGACTGCCTGTGTAGAAGACAGGAAGTGGCTGGTACACCTCCTGACCCTCTGATAGCTGACATTGCCCCAGCAAAAACCAGTGATAAAAAGGAACTGATGATGGTGAAAATCACAAGGCAGAAAGCTACACATTTACCTTTACCATTGCGTTTTTTATTGCCACACCACCCAAAAAGTTCAAGCTCTGATTTTTTGCCCCACACTACAATGCTGACATGCATTTGCCAAGGACCGAGATCTGCCCCAAGCCCCACAGGAGCTGAGACAGCCAGATGAATGAACCAGCATGGAGTGAAGAAATGAGAAAGGGAGCTCCTAAAGATGTGTAATGCCCCATCCCTGGGGCTGAATTCTCCTGCACAAGCCAAACTTTTTCCTTTTAGCTTGCAAGAAAAATTGTGCTGTTGAAGGAGTTATGATTGCAGCTGTGGGAAAAGCTGCTGTGCGATATCAGTCCTGACGTCGCTGAATGCAAAGCCCTGTGAGTTCATGTGTCAGGGTGGAGTCAGGCAAGATAACTGGAGGAGAAAGAGACTCCAACGCTTTCAAAACAAGAGGCTCAACAACAGGCTAGGAGTGACTGCACAGGAAGGCAGTTGCGGGCTTTGCTGAATCCCTAAAGCTGGAAAGTTCCTTTCAGTGTCCGTATAAATATTTCTGTAAGTTATTTTTAAGTGTGTGTTTTGAAACTGAAATATATTTAGACCAGTTAGATGAAAATGTGGTTTACAGACTGCTTCTTTAGAAATTTCCCACGCTGGGAAGCCTGCTTGTCCCATGCCCAGGCTGCCCGGTCCTATGGGCACCTCTGGGTCAGAAGTAGGGGCTCCCCTCCAGACTAGGCAGCCAGAGTGCAGCCCCAGGGCCAGCACAGGAGTGCCAGTAGCCTGGGTGATTGTTGGCCCCTGCATGTGAGAGTGGGGTAAGATGTGATGCAGCACATAAGGAAGGCCTAAGAGGAAATCCTGGATCTGGAGAAAGCAAACCTTCTCCTTCCTGTGAGCCACAGCCAAACAACTTTCCCAGGGCACAGCAGGGGTCACGACGGCCATCGCTTCCCAATGCAACACGGAGCTGGGATCCTCGTCACATGTGGTCTGATCCCACAGCACTTGCTGAGGAACCAGGATGTTGTTTTGGCCAAGTTCCAGGCTGGCCAGCACTGTTTCATAGAAGCTACAGATGAAAAAAGTTCAATAGCGCAGTCCCTCTGCCCAGTGGATGGAAATGGCACTCATATTTCCCACCAGGGATGGTAGCATGCCATGCTCTGCCTATTTCTTCCCCTGAAGGAGCTTTGATGGATGGGGAACCTCTTTTCCTTGCTTACCCCAAGCCATTCTGCAGTGCTGCTGTATGCATGGAACAGTTTTCTGTCCCATGCCAGGGAACACTATTTTGCAGTGATGTCCTCCTACCTGCACTTAAGGCTGAAGGAGAAACACATTTATTTATGCTTTAGTTCACATAAGATAATGCTGGGAATGGCACCATGTAGAAAAATGTCTTTTCTTCCATATTGTTTTCGTGCTTTTTGCATTATCCATCCATCTTGCAAGCAATATTCTCAAAAGTTTTCCCAGTGGATTTCAGCCGGCTGGGTTGATTTAGGAAAAACCTTTTGAAGATCCTCCGCTGCAGCCTGCACAGTTGGATTGCCTTTCGGGGGAGTTCTGGGAAGTGCACATCCAGCAAAACCTCTTTCCAGGACTCTGATTTTCTTTTCCAGCTTTTATAGATAGTCCAGCTGGAACAGCAGAAAGATGTATGCTATAGTTTAGAAATTTGACCTAGTTCCTTTAATCCGTGCTAGCCACAGGAGCTCTCAGAGGGCTCAGCATCAGTGCACAACCTCACCAGATCACTTGTAACACAGGCTTTAAAGAAACAGCTTCATGCAAGAGTAAAAACATCCTTTGATCCCTGTTAAAAATGTTGGGAAAAAAAAGGGGCAGGGGGAACTTTGAGCTTAAGAAGCAGCAAAATTCAAATGAGTTTGGTTTCGTCTGCACATAAATGAAAGCTAAGTGTTCTGCAATGCAGCCATCAGAGCAGGGGAATTCCAGAAAATGGAGTGAGAGATGTATCGGGTAAATATAAATATAGGATTAACAGCAGCTGACCCAATGGCAGAACACCAATCAAGCAAGCTGTTGAAATAGAAGATGGAACTTACAGTAAGGCCCAATTCCCTCCTTGCTTCCCTGCACATCCCCAATGCATCGTTCCCCAGTGGGCAGGCTGCCATCTGTGGAAAGGCTGCTGCAGGGGGTGGCGAGACTGCAAAACTGTTCTTAAACCCCAAAGCAAAGCAAAAAAAGGAAAAGCGTTCCCCACCCCAATTGCTACATTGCTGTCCTTCAAGGTCCAAAGCCACCTCTCTGAACACCACTTCTCCCAAAGTCATCAGCCAAGCAGTTTGGCGTTTCTTTTTTTTTTTTTCCCATAACACAGAAAAAGGGCTTCATTTCTATGCTTTCCTTTTTTTTTCTGAGTGAAGGACTATTGGCTGTAATAGAGGAAGGGGGGAATGAGAACCCCACTTCTGAGGTTTCCTATTCTCATTGTAAGCAGAGGTGTTTATAAACTGTATTCCCAGCTTCCTTGGAGTCTGGTCTCTTTGCAAGCTGTTTGTGTCCTAGGATGATAGGTGCCACACAAAAAGTCGGAGGAGGAGCAAACCTGCTCTCCTAGTTGAAGCCAACGACAACATTTCTTATCCTAAATCACCCTCATCTTTTCCCTTTCTCATTATAGAAGCGCTTTCCCAGGCTCCCAGCCATTCTCAATAGCAGTGCCCCAGCCCCCTCTGTTTCTTTTTTACCAGGGCTGTAGACTATATTCCCTTCCCACGAGAAAATGCCATTATAACATTAGCTCCTTTTTTTTTCTCCTCCAATCCCACTCCCATTTCTGTTTTCTTTTGACCCACACTGGGAAGAGCTATCCAGCCAGCCCTGCCCACCGACACCGTGCCTCCTGGCCAAACAGCTGCAGCTCATCCAAAACGTGGTCCTGCAGAGGAAGAACCAACTGGACTGGCTCCTTGCTATCCATGATACTCCAGCTCCAGTAACACTGAGCTTTGGCCATCATTGATCAAATGTGGCCCATATGCACTGGCCCTCCCTCAAATTCCCCACATCTCCTCCCTGGGCTTGGTTTTATTTCTCTGGAACTCAGAGGCCAGATGTTCCCACCACCCTCCTCACTCCTCCATCACAGCAGGAAGAACAGCTCATGGCCTAGTTGCTGCTGTTGGAAATGGCTTCTTGATTCATGAGTTGGATGCATCTTACAAAGCATCCCAGCAGCAGCAGTGTGCTCGCCCTTTTGCTTTGATCAGCCCTGTCATGGAGAACAGGGTACAAAAAGGACATTTGTTAAGATCAGCTATAAAAATGTAAGAAGTTGCCAGTGCACATCCTGTGCCAAAATTTCTCTTCACCCAGCACTGTTCTGTGTGAGGATATTTTGGCAAGGGAGTTTTGTTTTGCTGGCTTTTAGGCAATGGGAATTTTGCTTTTGTTTTCTAGAATTCACATGCAGCTTGAAGGGTTTTTCCAGAACAAAATCCATCCTGCGTTCTAGCAGGCCAAGTGGCACTCCGGCTGTACAAAAGCAGAAATACAACTATAGTTAAGAATAATCTGAATAACGAGCTCATTCAGGACAGGACAGGTAGGCAGAAAAACAGACAAGCATCAGTCAGGCGTACAAACCCTCCTGCCTTTTAGTACCCAAAATGGAACTGCAGTTGGCTACAGGCCTCTGGCAGCCCGATGCCCACGCCTGTCGCACACCACTGCCCAGCTGCTGTGTTTGCCCTGACACCCCCTGTGCACAGCCGGACCCCCACCTCACCCTTAGTCAAAGGGTCCTTTCTTATTCCTCCATCACCTCCCCATTTCCACGCGTTGCTGGCATTCAAGGCAAATATTTCTCCCACCCTCGACCGGCTCTTCCCCCCCTCCTTGCTTTATGGAGGCCCCTTTATCAGGCAAGGCCATGGCGAGCCAGGCAAACATTACCTCAGGGGCACTGTGAATTGGGGCTAGGGGTGTGAATAGGTCCCACACATTCCCTCCAGCTTCTTCCCTTTCCTATAGCAACCACGTCGGGAGCCGGCAGGTCACACAGCCCCTCCGTTGTGCAGCCGGGGGCCAGGGGGGCCGAGGTTTTGCCGCCCGTCTGGGAGCAGGCTGCAGGATGGGGGTGGCTTCCCAAATTGCATGGGACGGCACAGTGGCACTGTGCAAGGGGCAGCAGTGGGATGCCAGGAAGAGAAGGTGTGTGGAGATGTTTCCATCACCTCCTAGTATCACTGCAGCAGTCCTGGGAAGAAACTCTAAGAGCAGACCTGTCTTAAATAAACTAAAATAACATTAACAGGGTACTCTTCCTTCTTGGAAGCAAGATGAGATCCTGTCTATCCAGGGTACCAGAGCAGATCTTCTGACTGAAGGCCTCCAGAAGAAGAAAAACAACCACAGGGTGTTGGTCAGTGCTCAGCTGAACACGAGCCAGCAGTGTGCCCAGGTGGCCAAGAAGGTCAAAGGCACCCTGGCTTTTATCAAAAATAATGCTACAGCAGGAGCAGGGAGGTGATCGTCCCTCTGTACTCAGCTCTGGTGAGGCACACCTCAAGTACTGTGTTCAGTTCTGGGCCCCTCACTACAAGAAAGGGACCCCAGAGAGCATCCAGAGAAAGGTAACAAAGCTATGAAGGGTCTGGATCACAAGTCTTATGGGGATTGATTAAGGGAGATGAGATTATTCAGTCTGGAGAAGAGGAGGCTCAGGGAAGACCTTACCGCTCTCTACAACTCCACGAAAAGAGGTTGTGAGGGGGAGGGGGTCAGCCTCTTCTCCCAAGTAACTTTGATAGGATGAGAGATAACAGCCTCAAGTTGTGCCAGGGGAGGTTCAGGTTGCATATTAGGAAGAATTTCTTCTCAGAAAGAGCGGTGATGCAGTGGCACAGCTGCCCGGGGAGGTGGTGCAGTCACCGTCCCTGGAGTGTTCAACAGCCGTGTGGATGTGGCAGTGAGGGACATGGTCAGTGGGTATGTGGGGATGGATTGGTGTTTGGACCAGATGAGCTTAGAGATCTTTTCCAACCTTAATGGTTCTATAGCATTAGATAGACTTCCCACAACTGGTGGCACATGCAGGTGAGCTCGGTGCAGTCTCCTCCTTTATCACACCCAGGTGTGGCAGGGTTTGCTGCTTTGCCACTGCCAGAGCAGCCACTCCTGGAGCTGATAAGGCACTGAGCTGCCCTTGCAGATATTCCTGCAGGGTCTCACCAGTACCATGGCAGCAGTGCTTGCTCTTATGTTACAGTTTGGGCCACATTTACTGTACTCCTGTACTCCATCCTCTGCTCTGAGACACTTCCCAGGAGCCATTTCAGTCACAGGGACAGCAGACCCCTGGCAGAGAATGGCCATGGAGGAGTGCAGTGCTCACAGTGGGATCAGCTGAGCCCATCAGAGAGCTTCCAATCTAAAAACAGAGACATTAAACACTGATTTGTATTCCAGGATGGGAAGTAGGATGAGTTTATAGACATATAAACATGAAAGACAATCTACTCGGGCATCATCAGCTCTTTCTGGGTGATGCAAGTCTATGCCTCTCCAAAAACATCACAGGAAGGAACTCCATCCTTAGGTTGCTCGCTCCAGCATTAGTTGGATAGTTTTTCCTACTATCATATCTCAGACATTCTCAGATTCTTACATGTGCTCAGCCTCATACCAGCTGGAGCTTTTTCAGGACCTGTGGCTTTACTCCTAAGTATAAAGGGAAACTGTCCATTTGAATTCTTCTGTTTCCAAAATGAGTGTGTTGTGGTTACTTTACCAACATTTTTTTTATGTCACGGTAGTAGTCAGGCCCTAGGAATTGTTCAGATAGAGAGGAAAGCGTGGTCTTCCCAAAACCCCACCACATGATTCATGGAGCAGTAGGCTGCTGACAAAAGGTGGGTAGCAGGGAGCTGATCACCGGGAAAGCGATAGTGATAGTGACTAATATCCTGACAGCCAGGAGCCGTTGTGGCTCCTCTACCCACGGCTGAGACCCTCCATCACTCTTGTGGTTTCACAGTCATATATTCCACTTTCTAAAAAAGCCTTTGCTCTCCCTCAAAAGCTTGTGCAAGGCCCACCCAAACAACGGAAGAAACTCATTGACCAAAGGAAAACTGATTGCACCCGAAGCGCTGACACACGCACCGCACAACCCAGCCAGAAGCTGAGCCTGAGTGTTTTTCTCCACTCTTGGACTCTTGGGAACTTCACAGCTCAGCAGCAGGATGGAAATAACAGAGAGAAAGGCGTGTTTTTGTGTGCATGAGTGGATAGAAACCTTTGAACAAGTTCCTCCGTCCTCTATCAGTTGAGTGAGAGAATGGGGTTTGTCCAGAGATCTGGGATGAAGATAAAATATCTGCCACCTTCTGCTGGTTCAAAGATGGCCAATTCCCTTTTTGTTGCACATAGCCCTCTGGGTCTACACCCTGTCCACTTTTCTGACAAGGAGCCAGCCTCTGTCCCACAGCCCAGTGCCTATGGTCATGACAAGCACACAGCAAGGCCTGTACCTGCCAAGTGATGCAGAAAACTAGTCCTGCAGCCATGCAGCACAGGCACTGTTGGCCATGGTGCAGGGAAGAGGCTGGGGGATGGCAAGGAGCAGGCTGTCAGCCATAAGAGTATGTGGAGCCCATAACCTTCTCCCCATGGGCTTCAGGAAAGAGGGATCATGAGAAGGAATGGGCCCTGTGCCAATGATGTGTCCTGGCAGACCCCTGGCTGAGGACTGTCATTCCAGCTCCACAGGATGGGATAGGGTATGGCACAGGCATGCTGAGTTATCAAGTGTTATGTCAGGTATAAGACAGAAGTTTGACATAGAAATACCCTCTGGCCTCACTTGAACTCACTCCAGAGCCAGGTGCTGCCCCAACCCAGAGTCATCACACAGGGTGTCTGAACCAGGACCACTTGCATCCCTGGGGAAGGGTCTGTGCTAGTTCCCAACCTCTGACAAGCCATCAGCATCAAAGGAGACTGACAGTTTCAGTATGCCGAGCCATACGCACTCCTTCCTCCTGACTCTGGGGAAGAAAACCAGGTGCTGC